CTCATCCCGATGTTACACTAATCAAGAGCTTTCATTGGAGTACTCACATGCATGTTTTGATATATTTTTCATATATACATATATATATATATATATAATATATATATAAATATATGAAATATATAAAAAATTGATGTGGGTACTTGAATGAGAGCTCTTGATGAGTGTAACATCGTGATGAGCTTTTATCTTTAAAAATATCAATAGTTCACAAGATACAAGGTCATTTCTTAATTATGTATTTAGAAATGGAGCATTTTGAATGTAGCCTAAATACCGAAACATTAATTTCTTATTCTCTCAATAATATAAATTCTGTACACATGCATATGGGAAGAAATAATAATTATCCTACATATTACAAGCACAAGTACGCTAATTAACAGTGTATTAAACATTAATTTACATACTTGGTCGCTCTTCAAGAAAGTAAAAGATCCAGGCGATCGTTTATTATTTTTTTCTTCCAACTTTCTCCTTTCTTCTGAAGATATCTTCTCAACACTTATCGTAAAACTTTATTCGTTGTCCAGCACACGCACTAATTAGTAATTAATTCACATTTGAACTTTAACCTAAAAAACACTGTTAACTAACAAATAAAAATACACATGAACATTTGTCGATGAATAAAACCGCACTCTCATTTAAACAATACACTCACATTTATTTAATCACTTTACCTGGTTTACTCAATAGCAGAGTAAGCACTATACTACCGAAATCCAATAAAGTATTCAGTGAAACAAGTGTCTCGCGTGTGTATTAAAACCGCGAGAAGCTTTGGTATTTGATCAGGATGTTGTTCGGTACCCCGCGGTTCGAGTTTCGACATTTCCAACGACATCATCTCTCGCACTCACGCGTATTATTATAAAACCCGAGTTACACCGGTTGTTTCACTTGTAGACAAGACAACGCTGTACTGCATTCTCATCCGAGATTCTCGATCAACAAAGACTCTTATTCGTGTACCAGAAATCCCTGGAAAATATAATACAACAGAAGTAATATATAGAATGATATGAAGTTAGCTGACAGCTGTCAATTTTTTTATTTTTATAACAAATTAATTACAATTAAAAAACTACTTTAAAAAATTTTAAAAAACTATTTTAATAACTACTTTAAAAAATTTCAGTTAATAAGTTTTATTAATTCTCACATGTAGAATTTTTTTATTTAATTGTTTTTATAAAACTAAAGTTAGCCGCCATTTTTAATTTATTAAATTAGAGATAAAAAATATTTTTAAAAAATTGAACTTATAGTTTTTTAAAATGAAATTTTATTTTTTGAGTAAAAAAACATTTTTTAAAAGTCAGCTAACTTAATTTTCATTTTTTTATAATGATTTAATTGCTCTAAAATTATAAAAAAATGTCAGTTAACTTCAGTGTCTCAAAAATTGATGATAATGAAGTTAGCTGTCAGCTGTCACATTTTTTAAAAATTTATAACGAATTAATAACAATTAAAAAACTACTTTAAAAAATTTCAATTTTTTTCAATTTTCACCCGTGGAATATTCTTATTTATTTTTTGTATAATAATTTAATTGATAATAATAAAGTTAGCCGACATTTTTAATTTTTTTATTTTACTTAATTTATTAAATTATAACTAAAAAATATTTTTAAAAAATTGCACTCATAGTTTTTAACAAGTGAAAAAAATTTTTTTTTTATTTTTTTGTAATAATTCTTTAATAAAAAAATCATAAAATTTTTTAGATGTCAGCTAATTTAATTTTCATATTTAATTGTTATAAAATTATAAAAAAATTTCTATTGTCAGTTAACTTCACGACATTAAAAAATTAACAGTCATTTAATAATTTAAAAATATTTTTTAACAAACAAATTTCTTTTCAAAAATGATTCTAATTAAAAAAAAAATAATAATAAAGTTAGCCGCCATTTTTTATTTTTTTATTTTACTTCATTTATTAAATTAAAACTAAAAAATATTTTTTAAAAATTATTGCACTTATAGTTTTTCATTTTTTTTCAAATGAAATTTTTTTATTTAAAAAAAAAAATTCTAAAAATTTTTAGATGTCAGCTAACTTGATTTTCATAAAAAAAAAAATGATTAAATATCTAAATTAATTTTCAGTAAACTTCAGTGTTATAAAACAATCTGACTGAAGACAGAAGCTAAAGAAACAAAAAAGGTAAGCGATGACAGTTGTACAATGTCACCGAACCGGTAAAGTTAATTCACAATTTATATAAAAAAATCCATTTACGTACACTTTGTTCCAGGGTGAGTTTTTTTAGTCTTCACTATCAACAATCATACAATAAGTATCCTGGTCAGTGGAGAATCTAAACTCAGATTGTGAGTCTGACTGGACGGCGCGTCTTCTGAACAAACCACGAGAACAGTGGCCGTAAGCGGCTAGTTTGCTATCGTAAGGATCTAGCAAAAGCATTAAAACACATCGTGCATTCCGCACTCGAGAGTATATAAGCTTCATTACAATACACGCAATCAGTACTCCATTGAAAGCATTGCTTATTCATGTATGTAGATAACAAAACCTACTCTGGAGTAAATATTCCCGAAAATTAATAATTACTTGCGTTTAATTAAAAGCACTCGCGGTAGACAATTTAGTATCTAAACGTTTATTTTTCTTCTCACAGTGTAATTTTCGGTGAATCGAGTTCTAACTGGCAAACGTTCACCACGCCGTAGAACACTTAAACTTGGACTCACTCTTGAGATGAGGTCCCCTGGTTTCTCCTTCCACTCAAACTGTTCACCAGCTACCATCTCCACCTGCCGGTCTTCAACCCACCTCTCCTGCTTGAAAGACTGTTCGCAAGAACTCAGACAGGTTGGATTCATCGTCAAAGACGGTTAAATACGGTCAAATAAACCAGGTAGAATGTTCTGATCGAATTCATTAATACTTTAACATCTTTTTTTTTTATTTAGGTTTTACAACGAGTTAATGTTGCTTTTTTTTTATAAATCAATCATAAATATTGATTGTTGTTGTGTCAAAAAATATTTTAATTAAATATTTAAAGAATTTAGATCATTCATTAATATTTAAAAATTTACTGATCAGTTTTATGGTTAATTAAATTAATTAGACATTTTATAAATTTTTTTTTATTTAATTACATTTTTTTCATTTTATTTCTTTATTTATTTTCTGCTAAAAAATAATTGAATAGTTATACATAAAATTACTTAAATTAGATTTGTATATTAATTAATAATACAGTGTATTGTAAATTTAGTTGCCAAAAAAGAATTAATAATCTAACTTAAGAATTAATTTAACAAAAAGAATTAACCCCTGACAAGCACACTGGGTAAAATGTACCCACCCCAAAATTTTATTTTGTTATAATTCTTTGTGTATATTTAAACTTCGATAGTATTTTTATCTATTTTAATTGGCACTAATTAATTTAATATTATATTTATTTTATAGAGAATTTTTTGAGCTTTGATTTAAAAAAAAAAATTCTCTAACTTTATTAGGGACCAAGATATTTGAAAATGAAATATGTTGGGTACTTGTCACCCTCAATGCCTAAAGAGGTATACGGTTTAGATGTGTGCTTATCAGGGGTTAATTTAACTTACGAATTAATTTTACAAAAAGAAGTTAATAATTTAACTTAGCTTGTTCTTAATTATAAATTATAATTATTGCTCTTATTTTAATTGATTTTTTAAATAAAAAAAAAAAATAGATCAATTTTACTGAGCTAAATTTATTTAATAAATGAAAAAAGTTAAAAATTTTTTAAGTGAAAAAATATTCAAACAAAGTTTCATAATTGCTAATAATTTTTTTTCACAAAACATCACTTTTTTAACTAGAAAAAAAATGTGTAATGTGTTTGTATACTGTTTTAATTATCATAAAATTTAAATGATTTTTTTTTTTATAAAAATAAATTATTTAAATGAAGCTATAATATAAATTGATGGATTCATTAAATACACTAATCAAAAATAGATCTCGTGATATCTTAATTTTATCTCTTGAGTATTAAGGCAATTGAACTAGCAGTACCATCCAAAAGTAATGCCAAGAGTATGTTTAAATATGTCAACCTATTTAAAGTAACCCTGATTAGAAAAAGATAATTTGAAATTTAGACTGTCAATGTTAACTCTTAATAAAAGAAGAAATCTAAAACTATTAAAAATTTTTTATTTAGCAGATTTTTATTAAATTTTCATAATTTTTGTTAGAAATAAATTATTGCAAAAAAAAAAATTGACATTTAGAAATTTAGAACAAATTTGTTTGTTAAAAAAAATTAAAAAATGATCAAGTGACTGCTAACTTTAATGAAAATTATTTTAGCAGATATTTATTAAATTTTTTAACAAATAAATTATGGCAAAAAAATTTTTAAAAATTAAAAATTCAATTTTTTAAAAATAATTTTTCAAAACAAATTTTAAAATTAAAATAAAATTTGCTTACATACTCATTAATTAATTACAAGTTTTGTAATGAAAATTTATTTAATAATTTTTTTTAAGAAATAAATTATTGCAAAAAATAAATTGACATTTAGAAATTAAAAATGCAATTTTTTAAAAATAATTTATTTGTTAAAAAAAAAATAAAAAAATGATTAAGTAACTGCTAACATTTTATTTAAAAACTTACCGAATAAAAATATAAATCTAAAATTATTCTAATTAAAAAATGATAAAAATAAAAATCGCTTGATTATAAACAATAATATGACAGATGTTTTTTTCCTAGAAATAAATAAAATAAATCAAAGAAGCAATAATATTTATGTGACATTGACGATATTAGGTTATTAATTTTTCAGATCAAACTGATGATACATTTGTTTATCACGAACAGCGGAATAAAAAAATAGATCAATGAACAATACCAACACAAGCTCAGATAATTTTTGAATAGATCGGATGGAGTCGTGAGCTTTCGTAAGTACTCGATTGTAGAGTGAAGGTGGAAGGTGCCACCACGTGACAAGCAGTGGTTTCGACTGGTCACCACGACAAATGGTATGACGATGGCTGACTCGAATTACGAAAGAGTAGACGTTTTTTTCAGGGGCAATTTTCCGAGTAAGGCCGCTGCATTCGCAAGAAAACGACGCACATTTTCATTTTTGTTATTCTGCGGATACAGTAGTCAACGCACCATGGTCTACAACATTAAGTGGATAATACCTAAGTTGAAAAATCCATCAAAGTTGTGGAATTTCGCAAGTACACTTACCTTTGCCGCAGTAGGAATTGTTTCTAAATTAATTATTCGTAAGTAAATATTTAATTATTAATTACAAAAAATTATTCATTTTTTTATTGCTTAAGATTTTTTATTTTTAACTTTTTTTTTTTTATCAATTCAATTTATACAAATAGAAGTAATTATTTTGTGTATAGTATAAGTATAACCTATTAAAAGACACTGACATTAGAAATTTTATTATTATTTTATAGCAATTAAATTATTGTGAGAAAATTTTATGCATGTTAAAATTATAATTAAATTATTAGTGGAAATTTTTTTAATGATTATTAATTTAGCAGATATTTAATTATTTTTTTAGGAAATTAATCATGTCAAAAAAAATATTGACATGCAGAAATTTTAGAAAATTTAATTTTTTGAAAATAATTTTTCAAAAACAAATTTAAAAAAAAAAAATTAAGTTACTGCTAACTTTAATAAAAATTAATTTAGTAGATTTTTATTAAATTTTTCAACAAATAAATTATGGCAAAAATTGACATGTAGAAATTTTAAAAAATTTAAGAATGCAATTTTTTAAAAATAATTTTTTTGTTAAAAAAAATTAAATAATTATTAAGTGACTGCTAACTTTAATAAAAATTAATTTAGTAAATTTTTTAACAAATAAACTATGCTAAAAAAAATTGACATGTAGAAATTTTAACAAATTAAAAATGCAATTTCTTTTAAATAATTTAAAAATAATTAAGTGATTGCTAACTTGAATGAAAATTAATTTAGCAGATTTTTATTAAATTTTCTAACAAATAAATTGTGGCAAAAAAAATTGACATTTAGAAATTAAAAAAAATTGAGAATGCAATTTTTTAAAAATAGTTTTTTTTTTTTTCTAATTCAAAAATGATTAAACCACTGCTAACTTTAATAAAAAATAATTTATTCAATTTTTTAATAAATAAGTTAAGGTCAAAAAAATTGACATGCAAAAATTTTACAAAATTAAAAATGCAATTTTTTAAAAATAATTTTTTTGTTAAAAAAAAATTAAAAAATTATGACAGCTAACTTCAGTATCATCCTATTAAATTACTATTTTAATAACTATAATTAGTAATTGTCTTCTTTATTTGTTAATTATAGAATGGCTGAATAAAACAACAGTTCACAACAAACACATATTTGAAAAAGCATTGAACCAGAGGCCGAGGGACGTACCGCTCATAACAGTCTCCAATCACGATAGCTGCTTTGATGATCCTGGGATTTGGGGTGGGTTTACGTCTAGCACGCCAGACACCTAGTCGAGTGATGCTTACTTCTTGCTACTTATATTGTTGATTGTTGATTATTGACAATAATTAATATCAAACCAGCAGTGCAAATAATTAAATGATTGTTTACAATTCAGCAACTTTTATAAAATGTAATTACACAGGGTGAACTTGACCGTAATGTCATTCTGTGATATAAAATCCTTGAAAAATCTTCAAAAAAATTTACCGTGTCTTAAAATCTATTTCAAATATTTCAGCTATTTTTTTTTAGTTATAATTGAAAAAAAAAAAAAAATAAAATAATGATTTAATTTTTGATTTCAGCGTCCTTGGATTTTCGGCATGTATTAAATAGGAAAAAAATGAGGTGGTCGTTAGCAGCACATGATATTTGTTTCACTAACTCGTTGCATTCATATTTCTTCATGCTGGGGAAATGTATACCAACTGTAAGAGGTGACGGAGTTTATCAGGAAGCTATTAATTTTTGTATAGAAAAATTAGCCCAAGGAGATTGGGTTCATGTATTTCCGGAAGGAAAAGTAAATATGTTCAAAGAATATATAAGGTTTGTAGTTTGATAGTTCATGAGTGATAAAAATTAAGTTAGCCGACGTAAAAATTTTTTTTTTCATTGAAAATATTAAAAAAAAATTTTCACAGAAAAGCTATAAGTAGAAATTTTAAAAAATATATTTTAGTACTAATTTAATAAATGAAAAAAAATAAAGTGCAATTTTTAAAAAAAAGTTTTTTAGTTCTAATTTAATAAATGAAAAAAAAAAAAAATAAAAAAATGATGTAGAATTTAAAAAAAAAATATTTTTTAGTTCTAATTTAATAAATGAAAAAAAAAAAAATAAAAAAAATTGAGTGAAATAAAAAAAAAGAATTTTTTTTTTAGTTCTAATTTAATAAATGAAAAAAAAATAAAAAAATTGAAAAAGTCGGCTAACTTTTGAGTATTATAAATGACTGCTAAATTGATAGGCGATTATTTAATTTTGAAATATCAATCAGCAGATTCAATTCACAGGTTAAAATGGGGTGTTGGAAGATTAATTCTTGAATCACCGGTCACACCTATTGTCGTGCCAATTTACCATGTAGGAATGGACCAAGTATTACCTAATGAGCCACCTTATATCATTAAATTGTTCAAGAAGGTGACGATTAAGTACGGAGAGCCAATAGACTTTAGCAAATTATTAGCAGAATTACGGGCATCTAATGCTGATGAAGTACAAGCAAGAAAAGCCATAACCGATTACATTGACGCTGAACTTCTCAGGTAAGCTAAAATTTTATACAGTACCTGTTTAAATAGTTTATTTCAAGCTACTAATTATTAATATTATTTTTAGATTAAAAAAAGAAACCGAAGAATTACATGTTAAGCTTTGACGTTGCGGTAACTCTATTTAGTATTGAATTTTAACCAATCTCATGTAATTTAAATAACAAGGTCAGCAATATAAATAAGTAAACTGTATTCGTGAGTGATTAACGATTTACATTTACGATAGACGGAATTTTTTTATGATTCGACGTTAAATGTAGCAATGCATTGTTTAAAAACTATGATACGGCATAAATGAAATTAATGTCACTAAATAATGTGACGCACTTTTGTATCATGCGTAAGTCCGACTCATTAACAAGTTCAGCTAATAGTAATTACGCTTACATATCAGTCTTTGTTTTGATCCTGTAAATAACATAACATTGTGTATATTTTGGGTATAAAAAAATTATTAAGCTTAGAATAAAAAATGTTTACTACTTTTTTAAAATTTATTTTAATATTAATATTAGATTATTTAATATGCTTCCAATTTTGTTAAATAAAATAAATAAGGACATTTATTTTTTTTAATGTATTTATTGGATACATAATTTCTTTATTTCTTAAAACTATTTTTATTTACAATGTTTACGAAATTATATCGCGTTACAGATGATAAAAATTTAATTTTTTTTTTTCAAGTCCAAAAAAAATTTTTAGTTAGGAGAAAATTTTTTTTTTGCATTTTTGCACGTTTTTATTAAAAAATAAGTTGATTCTCGAAAAAAAAAATTTTTTCTAAAAAAAATTTCTATTAAAAAAGAATTTTTATTATATGCCTTTCTAGCATCTAGAACGCGATATTTTTAAATTAATTTAATTTAATATAATAAAAAAAAAATTCTACGTGATATAATTTTTTTTACAATAAAATATTTATAATTCAAAATTTTTTAGAATTTTATTTTTACAATTTTAATCATTAAATCAGATTAATTTTAAAGTCTACATATTCAAGAAACATGATTATTTTTTATTAAGAAACTTATCATTCAAATCATAAATGATAACAAAATAATATAAATTTTTATGTAACAGAGTAATTTGTTAGATAATTTTTTATTTTTTTTAGCATTGAAAAAAAATTTATTTTATTTAAAATTCAGCCTCGTAAACATTTTAAATATAATGAGTATAATTAATGGTAATTTTAAAATTATCAACAAAACGTATAATTTTTTTTTTTTTTTTGGCTACAAAGTCTCGTGAAAAAATAATTATATAACGATCTTACTAAAAATGATATTGAATAAATCAACCAGTATTTGAACTAAAAAGCCAATGAATAACATTTGATATATTATCTCTAAAAAAATATATTAATTTTTTTAGTAACAAAAACATAATATTTTCTTATAAACGATAAAACAAAAATTTTATCTAATTTATGAAAAAATTTACAATAAAGATCATTGGCATATTTATTACAAGATAAAATTATTTAATTATTTATATTAATTAATACGTAAGGTACATTTCTTTTGGATAAATTGTAAGGAGAAATAAGAATAATTCTATGTATATTAAACGGGACAAGACTTGACTTTAGTTTCTAAACGACAGAACTTCACTATCTTATGTACAGTATATAGCCGTTTAATTAATATTTAATATTTAATCACATTTTCATAATATTTATTTTAATGAGTAAAGCTAATTTTAATGATTACCATTGGTAATCTTGCGTAATTTTCCTTTATTAAAATTACATATACTGCCTAATAAGGCAGAACGATCATTTGTACCTGTTGGTACATTTAAAGCACCAGCTGATGCATCCGTGAATGGCACATGATTTTCATTATTATTTTTTACGGTGTTGCTCGATATTGTAGTCACACCTAAAAAAATATTCCAATTATTATTTATTAATATCAAACATTTATTTCTTAAAATTTTTTTTTAAATAAAAATTATCAGGAGTAATTAAAGCATTAACTTATTTATAACATTAATTTATATAAAACAAAAATTTTGAAAAAATTAATTTTTAACAATTATCGTCAAAATTATTTTGACGAACCTACATTAAGTCATCGAACGTCGCAAACGCCATCAACTTCTGTGTCCAGCTTATTAATAAAATTAATAGTAATTATATTGTTAATTAAATTAATTATAAAAAAATTTTTTTTTTAAATTACCGTGTGATGGAGGAGTAAAAGTACCAAGACTAGTCGTAGTAGATGTACTTGTAGGACTATCTGACCTTTCTGGGCTTTTACCATTGGAACTATTGAGTTGACTTGATGATTGTTGTTCTTGGGCCAATTTTGTTTCTTTTTTCTATTTAAAAAAAAAAAAATTTAGACTATTTACACAGAAAAAAAAAATTTATTGAATCAAGTAAATAATTTTGAAGAATTTAATCTTGATTTGGTTTTAGTAAATTTTACTTAATTAAAAAATTTTTCTCTTGATTCTAAACAATTAAACTTTTCAATATTATTTTCTTGGTTCAAATTTTTTTTCCTGTGTAATAAGTGTCGGTTTAAATTAAAAAATATAAAAATTACAGTCCGAAAAAATATTCTTAAAATTCAAACTTTACACTATATACTACATTTTAATACCTGAAGATTCAATATATAATAAAAAAATTAAACACAAAAATTAAAAAAAATTTTTTTTGGTTTAAGTGTACTTAAATTTATTAAGTATAAATTTTACTTAAAATTATAATTTTATTTAATCCAAAAATTTTTCTCTTGATTCTATTTGATTTTTTTTTAGTATAAAAATAAAAATTACCAATTTTTGTTTTCGTTTTTTCATCTCTTCTTCAGAGCTCATCAATTCCTGGACTTTAACAAGTCTTTTTTGGTGTCTAACAACTTTCTGTTCATCTCTCAGTCTTTGCTCTGCCTTATTAGCAGCCTCCAAAAGAGCATCTTTAAGATGGCTGCTCAATTTAAAGTGGGGTTTTTCAACAGGATTAGCTGATAGCGCAGCAGCACGTCTAGGAGTTTCGAAGAACGGGTGCTCAATAAGCTGAGCAATTGTAGGAAGATCTTGTTTGAGTGCTTCAGGTGAAAGAATTACTTCCAAAAGATTTTTCAAGTGAGGATCGCAGTGAGGAATGTCAGTGCAAGTAGCTTCTAGCAATGGCCTGCCAAATGCCATTTCATACAAGACATGACCAAATGAATATACATCTACCTGAGTAGTAGCATGAAGCTTTCGCCTCTGGACAACGTAAGGCCGATAAAAAGCTGGCAAACCCAACAATCCATTTTCTATGTCCAGTAGCTTAGCTCCCGTTGGTGTTATAAGAACATTACCGGTATGTAAATGACCGTAAGGTAGTCCCTTTTCAGCGAGATAACTCAGTGCATCAAGAATCTGATATGCGTACGTGGCGATTTCAGATGTGATCAGTGATTTTGGTTGCTTTGGATTTCCGTACTTCTTAATGAACGGTTGCTTTGGTTTTGAGTTACAAAGAACGTCACGCAAGGTACCATTGTTGTAAAAATTTCTAATTGTCAAAGCACCATTGTCGGTTACATGCTGATGAACTATGCTCTCAATGTGAGGGTGCTTCAATGTTCCCAGGCTTTTGAAAACACCCTGGATATCTTTGTCTTGTAAATGTTTATCAGGTCCAAATTCTACCCAAGCCAAAAGCAATTCTTGCTTTATATTTTGACGATTTTTTACGGTATAATAATGCTTTCTTAGCCGCCATCCCATATCGACAATTGGCTTTCCAATTTCGAAATTTGCATCGCTTCTCAATGCTAGAGACACTTGTTGTAATGCTATTTCTGTAAAATAAAAAAAAAAAAATTTTTTTTTATATTCAATATTTTTTAAGAAATTAATACTGAAGTCAGCTGACTAATTTTTTAATTATTAATAAGTAAAACCAACAAATAAATAAAATTTTGCTTTATTAAATAATGACTATTGATAAATTACACTGTATTTTTTTAAATACTGACGTTTTTCAAAATATAAGCTCATCCTGATGTTACACTCATCAAGAGCTTTCATTTGAGTACCCACATGCATTTTTGATATATTTTTCACATATACATATATATAATATATATATATAAATATATAAAATATTGATGTGGGTACTTAAATTAAAGGTCTCGATGAGTGTAGTGTCAAGGTGAGCTTATATTTTAAAAAACGCCAGTAATTTACAAGATATTTATTAAATTGAATTGTATTTTCGTAACGATTGACATTTTTAAAGATATAAGCTCATCCTGATGTTACATTCATCAAGAGCTTTCATTTGAGTACCCACATGCATTTTTGATACATTTTTCATATATACATTATATATAATATATA